TAACGACGATTTTCCTATTCGGTTCATTAGTTAGTACAAATAACGACGATTTTCCTATCCGGTTCATTAGTTAGTAAAAATAACGACGATTTTCCTATTCGGTTCATTAGTTAGTAAAAATAGCAATGATTTTCCTATTCGGTTCATTAGTTAGTAAAAATAGCAATGATTTTCCTATCCGGTTCATTAGTTGGTAAAAATAACAGATAACAAATGATTTTTCGGTAATGGTATCTATAGTTAACTATACGCACTACTAGAATGTTTTTATAAATCTAACAATGGTTTGAATTGAAATAATCTTAACTCCTTCGCTTTACGATAGGTTTTAACTTAACGCACACAGAAGTCACGAGCATTTTGAGACTATTTCAGGGTTCTCGAAGTGAGGGACTATCTCTTTCAGTTATGCAAGCAGTATGAAGCATGCATAAAATTATCCTACGTCCAATGACCAATCTAAGATAACGTTGAAAGAATTAAGAAACGTATTGAAAATAACTGCTTGTTTTGATTGGTTATTCGCTGGAATTTCGCGTTACTAAATTATACGAAACTACAACAAGGCGACTACGTGTTTAAAACAGAGAACAGTGAAATCTGTTAGTTACTGACACGGATTATAGAAGAAAACATACTTCGCGATCAGAAGTTGTAGTCAGATGTAATTCTTGTTTAAAGTTAGTGATACAAGCTAACGGCAAGCAAATGTAGTTTAGACGTTGGTTCTGTTTATTTTTTTAGCAGAATAAATGTTAATATGAAACCCAGAAACAATGATATTCTTTACAAATAATTGGAATTTTCAACCTAAACGGTACCTTGTGATCACGTGGGTTAAAAATGTACGTCCAGGCCAGAAATCTCTGGAGTTTATGTACAGCAGTCCCTAATTTTGATACTGGCCAGAATGGATGTAATTAATCATCAAAGGCTTTGTCTGGCACTTTTTGTTTAATGATGGGACTAAATCAGAATTACTATAAATAACAGCTTTGTCTGGCTCTTTTTTGTTTAATGATGGAACAAAATCAGAACTACTATAAATAACAGCTTTGTCTGGCTCTTTTTGTTTATTGATGGGACTAAATCAGAATTACTATAAATAACAGCTTTATCTGGCTCTTTTTGTTTAATGATGGGACTAAATCAGAATTACTATAAATAACAGCTTTATCTGGCTCTTTTTGTTTAATGATGGGACTAAATCAGAATTACTTTTAATAACAGCTTTATCTGGCTCTTTTTGTTTAATGATGGGACTAAATCAGAATTACTATAAATAACAGCTTATCTGGCTCTTTTTGTTTAATGATGGGACTAAATCAGAATTACTATAAATAACAGCTTTATCTGGCTCTTTTTTTCTATTTTTAAATGATAAGATTAAATCAGCATAACTATAAATAACATCTTTGTCTGTCTCGTACAGAAGAAGGTACAGTGAACAACTACAACAACAAAAGTTAGTATCAAAAATGTCAACCATCAGTGTCCACCGAGCTTTACACACACTTCTCCTTCCTGTTTCCGATTTCCTGTCTTCAGCTTGATTTTCACGGCTTCCTCTATTATACGTTACTATATGAAAACGAAGTGTACTACAATATAGTTAGCTGTATGTAGTTTACACTGTTATTGGCTTTTATCCACCCAATTAGTCATAATATTCTCAGCAGTAGTGTGGCTAATGCACCCAGGTCTTTTATTACACTAAAATTGATAAGTATTGTAGACATGGAGTCAAAATTAAGGATTTGTAGCTTGAGAAAATAATGTAGACACTACTTCTAGTTTCGTTTCTTTACTCTTAAAAAAAAAAAGTCTCTAGTTGTGGGCTTGAAAATATAATCTTTGCATTTTGACTCAACTTGTTCTGTACTTTTTTGACGATCCCTATACCACCTTTTTAAATTAATTTTTTTTATTAATAATCTTGTACACTAATATGATTTTTATATTCTATGATATAAAGCACATATTCATAATTAAGATAAATATCACAAGTGTTTTATCATTTTCGATTCAAGTTCACAGTATTTTTGACATAAATTAATGTAGATGAAAAAAAGAACATTTATTGTACTTACCGAATAGTTATGTATTTACATTTTTACCAAAAATTTCAGTATTCACTTATTGAATAATTTTAGCTTCTAAGAAGAGCTAAGCTAGACAATTTTAAAATAGTTACCTGTATGAATCATGTATAATACTGTAATGCTACAGTGACCTGTATAAAACAAGTATAATACTGTAATGCTACAGTGACCTGTATAAAACAAGTATAATACTGTAAAGCTACAGTGACCTGTATGAATCATGTATAATACTGTAATGCTACAGTGACCTGTATAAAACAAGTATAATACTGTAATGCTACAGTGACCTGTATAAAACAAGTATAATACTGTA